CTACACTCTTATAGGCAGAAGTAATGCCATCATAGAAAGCCAAGTTCAGAACCCTTTTGCCTCTTTTTGCCCTTCTACCTTCCACCATGTAACGGTGCAACAAGAAGGTCTTCGAAAGATTCCGTCATCTTGATCTTGGACTTCCCAGCAACCAGAATTATCAGTCAGTAAATTTTTGTTCATTATAAACTACCCCATCTCAGGTATTCTGTTATAGCAAAACGAATGGACTGAGACACAACAGAAAGGAAAAAATTTTCCTACCAGCGATTGGCATTTTAGAAAAACATAAAAAGAACATTCAATAAAACAATATTCAAAGAGAAGATACTGAAACAATAGAGCGAAGTGAAAAGGAAAAAAGAAAACTTAAGGAAAAAAGTTGAAAAGAAAAAATTAAATAAATAAATAAAAATTAAATGAATTAACTAGAAAGAACATGGAAAAAAATGGCAATGGGATTACTAACAAATGAAAGGTATGAGAACATCACAGTGAAATGCAGAGAAAAGAGGAATAAAATAATGATTGAACAGATAAAGACAAATGTATCCCATAAAAGGATAGCTGGAATCTCTAAAAGAGCAAACCTAAAAATAGAAGGAAAAAAAAAAACACCAAAAAACTTGCAGTTCTAAAATTTCCAGGAAATAAAGGAAGAATCAAATAACCCTTTGAAAGACATGCTGTGGTCTCAAAAATGTTACTAAAGGATGAACACAATCACTAAATTTTAACATGATTTTTTGAAGAAGACATTTAAACCATAGCACCCTGGTTTATAATTTCTTCTTTCTTCTTTTTTTAATGATGTAGTCTATTTTGATCTAGTCTCTCTTAAAGTTATTCTACAACAAGAATAAAGAAAGAAGTCAGGCTCGGTGGCTCAGCCTGTAATCCCTCACCTTGGGAGACTGAGGTGAGTGGATTGTCTGAGCCTGCGGGTTTGAGACCCGCCTGGGGAACTTGGCAAGACCTCATCTTTACAATAAGTCAAAAATTAGCCGGGCGTGGTAGCGCGCGCCTGTAGTTCCAGCTACTTGGAAGGCTGAGGCGGAAGGATCGCCGGAGCCCAGCAGGTCAGCAGGCTGCGGTGGCCGGGAGCGGCCACTGCACTCCAGTCTGGGTAACAGAGTGAGATTCCAACTCAAAAAAAAAAAAAAAAAAGAAAGAAACTTTCAGGTATCCACCAGAAAAATACAACACACACAAGAGGAGGGGAAGAATCTGATTCATTTCAAGATTTCTTTTCAGTCAAACTCAATGTCAGCAGACAAGAGAGTAATATTTTTTACAATGATTAGAATGAAGGAATACTTCACTCAAACATTTTATTCATAACCAATTTGAATACAAGGATAACACACAGTCAATCTGGAGCATGTTAAATCAAAGACTAAAGTATTTATGAGCTTTTTCTCAAAAAACTGCTTGAAAGTAAAATTCAGTTACTCAGTGTGATATTGTGAAATATGTATTTGATCTTCATCCCTTTACCTGGCATACAACTCCTGAGATCCTTGGAATCTCCAAAGTGATGCCTTTTTGTATGCTAATGACTACTTAAGACTGGCAGCCCCTAGCCAGTACTGGATGGGGGGTGGTCACCAGAAAGATTGAGGCAGGATTAAAGGATTGGGACTTTCAGCCCCACCCTCCAACCTCTGGGGTGGGGGTTGATGGTTAAGTTGATCAGTAGTAGATAACGTTTAATCAAGCATGCCTATGTAAAGAAGTCTTCATAAAAGGCCCAAAAGGATAGGGTTTGTAGAGCTCCTGGATAGCTGAACACATGGACATTTCTGGAGGGTGACAAACACAGGAAGGCATGGAAGCGCCACACCCCTTTTTCCATACCTCACTTGATGCTTCTCTTCATCTGTATCCTTTGTAATATCCTTTATAATAAAGCAGTAAACCTAAGTGCTACCCTGAGTTCTGAGAGCCAGGTTAACTAGTTAGTTAATAGAACCCAAAGAGAGAATCGTGGGAACCCTAGCTTGAAATTAGTCAGTCAGAAGTTCTGAAGGCCTGAAATTGCTACTGGTGTCTGAAAAGAGGGCAATCTTATTAGACTGAGCTCTTAACCTGTGGAATCTAACATTTTCTCCAGACAGATAATGTCAGAACTGAACTGGAGGACACCCAACTGATGTCCACTGCAGAGCAGATTACATGTTTGGTGTGTGGTGAGGAGGAGGGGACCCCACACATTTGATCAAACAAGTCTGTGTTGACTATTGTGCTGAGCAAGAGAACAGGAACAAACACTTTTGAGTTTTTGTGTTTGGGGTGATTACAATAAAGAACTCAGGCATATATATGCCATTTGTGATCAAAGATCCAGCAATGATTATTCAATCCTTTGAAACATAAAATTAAGATTAAACAAGAGGGGCACTTTGGCTATAGAAACCAACTAATATGGTTACAGAAACTAATAAAACTTTTACAAGTATTTTTACAGCAAAATTAATAAAAAGGAAAAAATTTTAAATGCTTATTTCTTTCTTGCATATGAGAAAATAAAAGAACTTGTATTTGAGGAATGCAAACCCTTTTAATTATCAGGCCCAGAGTAACATTAAAATGAGACAGCAGTCATGTTCTACTCATCTATTTGCTATTGCCACAAGTAGCTATAAATTAACCTAATAATGCCACACTAGACACTATAACCTAAATCCTATAGTTTAACAATGTACAGTCAATCAGCAATCAATGTTATTTCTATAAACCAATGAGAATTCCTGACAAACAACTTTGGGTCACTCCACTTCCTTTCCCTCTTTTTTTCCTTTAAACAATCCACTTGTAACTGCTGCTAATCCAAAATGTATATTCAGGGCAACTTGAATCTACACTCCCGGGTTGCACTCGTTAAGCTTGACTCAAATAAATTATCTACTTATATTAATTTTGCCTCACCTTCTTCCTTTTTAGGTCGATACATACCTGAGAGTCAAATGATGCTGTCAATGAAAACAATGAATGGAAAAAAATTTGGTGACTCCAACACCTTAATGCTTTTCACAGTCTCCTCTTAATATCAGAAGAATCTTTAGAGAATTAATATATCTTACCAAGAGAAAACATTTTATGAAATCCAAATTTTTCTTCAGTGTCACTCCAACTATTATTCTTACATTCAAGTAACACTTTTATAGCACTAGGTGTGAGCCAGGTACTTCTCAATATTTAGTAAGTCATTTAGTCCTCATAACAACCTGTATAATGCAGGCACTATTATACGTAGTTTGTAGTCTCAAACTCTAAGCCCCAGAGACGCTGATAATTTGTCTATGGCTGTACAGCAAGGAAGCAGCAGAGTCAATATTCAAAGATGAGCTAGGTCCAGAATCTGTGCTCTTAACCTCTACATTACACTGCTTCTCAAATAAAACAGCATGTGGAGAATGACTTGATTTTTCTATAATTATATAAATGCCTCCAATTAACTACAAAAAATCTATCCTTCCAGGTAATGGAAGGGTATTTAAGTAAAGAGAAGATGCTTAAAATGTTTCCCTATTGATAAAGGAAGTTATTTTGGAGTAAGCATTGTGGAAATTAGTTGAATATTTTTATTTTTCAATGAGTTTAATGTGTATAACGAGTCTTTATCAATATTTTTAAAAAATGAAACCATTAATTTAAACAAAAAACAAATCATATTACCTAGTCTCAACTTGAACATTGTTTCTGTTGATTATTTATGGGTTTTTGTTTCCCTAATGAACCATCTTTTTTTTTCTTTATTTTAAAGATGTTGGGTACAATGCAGGGTTAGATAAACAAATGTTTATTAAGCAAGTACCCTTGTTGATAAGGTGTGCCCCTCCCTCCCCTGGCAGTTTCCCTCAACAGCCAATCCCCCCCCCACCCCGCCACTGGCAGTTTCCCACTACTTCTTATATTATTATGATAATTGAATGAACCATGTTTTAATTAGTACTTTACACTGTTCCTCCACAGAGCCTAGCAAAACATTAGGCAAAACAAATATGCTATAAGTATGCTGATTGATCGTCATTAAATATGAGCTTACTATATTCTATCTTTACAGGTAACACATTTCTAGATGTTCTAGGGCCTTTCTACCCAAAGCATACACTTAGCATCATTTGTACCACCTAGAAGCTTGTTAGAAACAAATTGCAGGTACCGACAGACTACTAAACCAGAATGTGCATTTTAACAAGATCCCTCAAGTGACTGGATATTTGAGAAGTACTCATTTCTAGGGCATTGTTTCTCTATGTATAGTTCATTACTTACCTATCAGAATCACCTGGATTGCTTGACAAAAATGTAAAATTCTTAGGTTCCACCCTATTCCTAGTGTCATGAAAGTTTAAAAGTCATAGCTAATAAAACCACAAGTAAACAGTAATAAAGAACAGGAACAGAGCTATAGGCCAAGCATGGTGGCTCAAGTCTGTAATCCTGGCACTTTAGGAGGCTGAGGAGAGAGGATTGCCTAAGCCCACGGGTTTGAGAACAGCCTGCGCAACTTGGTGAGACCTCATCTCTACAATAAATCAAAAAATTAGCTGGGTGTGGTAGGGCATGCCTATAGTTCCAGCAATTTGGAAGGCTGAGGTGGAAGAATCGCCTGAGCCCAGCAGGTCTTGAGTGTGCCCCTGCACTCCAACCTGAGTGACACAGTCAACTCAAAACAAACAACAACAACACAAAACAACACAGGAAAAGGACTATTAAGCAGAAAACATGAAAGAGCCCAGACAACTGAGATAAATCAAGAAAATGACAGTAAAGAGAAAAGGAGATAATAAGAGGAGCCACATAGGAGGTAGAGTAAGTACATCACAAAAAAACTATGAAGTAAAGAAAAAAAGGTTTCAGAAAAAATTGTGGAGATATGTAATTTCTTAGTGTAATATAAGACTTAGTAACAGTTTTGAATATGTAACTACCACATAATGCATGAATTTTATGAATGGTCCTAACATCACATAGCATTTTAAATGTGTACATACGTTTTTAGAGACATTTCCATATGCTTGGCTCTTGCAATTGCTTCATCCCTCTCCTTAATGGCTAATTGCAGCCTAGACATAATAGCTTCATCACGTTCCCGCTGAGCAAAATACACTTCTTCAACCAGAGCTATCAAAAAATATAATCCATATCAAAGAAAATAAAGAAGAAATACATACAATGAGTAAAAATTAAAAGTAAAAGTAATTACATTATTTTAAGGACTATTTATTAAATTGAATTAGTATTAAATAATAGCTTGAGAAAACATTTTTAACAAGTATTGTAAAATTGAGATATCATTTCACACTCAAAAAAAAAGCAAAAATGTTAAGATCTAATAATAAATGTTGCAAGCTTGAGAAATTTTTTTAAAATGCCCTGTCACACATAGTACAGATAAGGATATCTATTTCTACAACCAACTGAAGAGCAAATTGGCAATGTTTAAGGTTGATGGGCCTAACCTATAGACTAGCAGTCCCCTTTAGTATGTAGCCTATAAAAATTATTGCACATATACAAATGGAAACATGCAAAAATACTTACTGCAACAATGCTTACAATAGCAAAAATTCAGTCAATAACCCAAACATCCATCAATATAAACAGGAATACACAAATTACATTCATAATGGAACACTACCTAACATTTAAGATGAATTAAGTATTGTCAGATGGAAATTCTCAAAAACAAAATGTTGGCAGAAATAGCAAGTTGCAAAGTAAAACAATTCTACCTACCATTTAAGTAAAAAATTAGTAAAAAACTAATACAACCAGCATGGACACGATAAAGACCAAATTCAGAAGAGTAGTTATCTCAGTGGGATGGTGGAGGGGAAGAAAGGAAATGAGTAGAAAAGAATAAAAAGGGGCAGAGTTGTGCTGGTTTAGCACTGCACATCTAAACAGAACAGGGGGCACTATTTATATAGATTATAATACAAATGGGATCATCTGGATTCGTGCAACACTATAACAGGAGCTTTGATGTCACCCAAAATTGTCATTTCTTAAGCATAATTTATATTGCTGGTATACCTAAAATAATATATGACTTTTAAAATATTAGTGCCATGTTAGACAAAGAACTCAAATACCTAGATTGCTAAGTCAAATTTTATTTATACTGTAAAACCACACAATAAACTTAGGAAAAATGTTTGAAATCTTCTTTTAGTTTTAAAAGGCATTGGGTCCCTGCCAAGATTTGTTATAGATTAATATACAGTTAGTCAAGATAGTTATTGTACTACTTTACAAGTGGCAAAAAAGTGATGACAGCATAGATAACATGAATACACTGGAAAGACAATTCACATCCTGGGCAGGAGGTTATGAGATTTCATCATACTACTCAAAATGGTGTGCAATTTAAAATTTATGAATTGTATATTTCTGGAAGTTTCCACTTAATATTTTTCTGACTTGGGTAACCGAAACTGTGGAAAGAAAAATCACAGATAAGAGGGACTACTATACCAATTCCTCAAGCTGTTTTGAGAGAAACTTCTGTTCGGATGTAGTATACAAAAATGAACTTTATTTTCCCTTCTAATTCTATATAATCTCCTTCCAGGAAGGACAAGCAACATGGTGTATCTTTTATGGTATGGAAAACAGCATGGTGTTTGGAAGAATATGGCCTCTGATTCAGATCCAAGATACTAAAGTTCAGCAACCTTGTTTTCATAAATTTCTTGAATTATTTTAGTTGCAGCTCAGGTATATAAAACAGTAATGGCATATATACCATTACTCATGTTTATTAGGAAAAAATAAGGCAAACAACCTAGGAAAGCTCTTGTCCAATTAAAAGAACAAAGTGGATCCTCAACAAATGTAAGCTCCATTCCACCATTATAGTTATCACCCTCAACCCTCAAAGACTCACATTTTGAGTTAATTCTTAGACATATTAATAATGTGATTAAGATTAACGTGTACCATTTATATATTTGAAGATCCAATTTAAAATTCCTCATTTTTTAGTATTTATCATTGTCAGGCAAAAATTACAAATAAGAACTGAAGAAAAAATTATTCAGAACCCAATCTACATTGTATACTACATATTATAATGAGGTAATAGTTTATTAAAAATATGATATTCTAAAATTTTTTAAATTTTCACATTATAAAATGCTTCTAATTTGTAGCCAGAAAGGATAGACAAAATGATGCTAAATAGTGATCCACGTACAGATTAACATATATGTCATACTGCCCTGAAATGTTCTGGCACATTAAAAGTTTAAAATACTAATTTCTACATTTTAAATATCAATAGGTTTCCTATTGTTTCCATAAAGTGTGACTAGGTCTTTTACAGTGACATTTGATGCAAGTTATGTTCCACTTTATAAACAACAGCACCCGAAGAAGACAAGGCTAGCATATTTAAGGGCTTTAACAGTACAACTAGTTATCTTTATGGAAAATGAAAGGTAAATGCTTTACACAGACAGTTTATTTGGTCCTATGTGATCAACAGAAAACATGTTTTCCTTTATAATGCTATTTTAAATCCAAAGATATATATGTGTATTTAGGGAAATTATCAAATAAGTATTCTTAAGGTTAAGTTTTAAAATGCCAGGAAACACACACATACACACATATAAAATCTGGTTATACAATTTACAAATGATAAGAAAAATGTTTCATAATTAAGGTATCACTCCACAGATTCAATGCAATCCCTGTCAAAATTACACTGCAATTCTTCACAGAAATAGAAACAACAATCGTAAAATTCATGCAGAACCACAAAAGACCCTGAATAGCCAAAGTAATCTTGAGCAAAAAGCAGAAAATTGGAGGCATCACACCAACACTTCAAATATATCACAAGCCGGGCTCGGTGGCTCAGCCTGTAATCCCAGCGCTTTGGGAGGCTGAGGTAAGTGGATTGCCTGAGCCCGTGGGTTCGAGACCTGCCTGGGTAGGTGAGACCTCATCTCTACAATAAATCAAAAAATTAGCTGGGCATGGTAGCACGTGCCTGTAGTTCCAGCTACTGGAAGGCTGAGGCGGAAGAATCGTTGGAGCCCAGAAGGTCGATGCTGCAGTGGCCGGAAGCGGCCACTGCGCTCCAGCCTGGGCAACTGAGTGAGACTCCAACTCAAAAAAAAAAAAAAAAAAAAAAAAAATATATATATATATATATATCACAAAGGCATAGTAATAAAAACCAGCATAAAAAAAGACATATTGGCCAATGGAACAGGATCAAGAACACAGATATAAATCCGTACAATTATGATCAATGCATTTTCAATAAAGATGTCAAGAACACACTGTGGAGAAAGTACAGTTTCTTCAATAAATGATGCTGGGAAAACTGGATATCCACATGCAGAAGAATGAAAATGTACTCTTATTTTCACTCCTTATATAAGGATCAGCTCAAAACACAAGACTTAAATGGAAGACCTCAAACTAAAACTACTAGAAGAAAACATAGGGAAAAGCCATAACATTGTTCTGCATAGAGATTTCTTGAAAGCACAGGCAAATGAAAGCAAAAATAGGATGGGATTATATCAAATTAAAAAGCATCTGCAAAGTAAATGAAACAATTAACAAAGTGAGAGACAACACACAGATTGGAAGAAAATATTTACAAATTATACATTGGATAAGGAGATAATATACAAAATATACAAGGAATTCAAACTACTCACTCACAAGAAGACAAATAAGCCTATTTTAAAATTATGAAATGTCTTGTATAATGGGTGAGATAAGGCTCCATTGTCATTCTTCTGCACGTGGATATCCAGTTTTCCTAGCACGATTTACTGTAGATACTAACAGACATTTCTCAAAAGAAAAGATAAGAATGGTCAACAGATATATGAAAAAAGCTCAACACGTGTAATCATCAGAGAAATGAAAATTAAAATCCCAATGAGATATCATCTCACAACTGTTAGATTGGTTATTATCAAAAAGATAAATGGTAACAAGTGTTAATGAGGATGTGGAGAAGGGGAAACTTTGTATACTGTGGGTGGTATTATAAACTAGAATAGCATTTTTTAAAAGTGAGGTTCCTCAAAAATCTAAACATAGAGTTAATTACCATATGATCCAGTTATTTCACTTCTAGGTATATATTCAAAGGAGTTGAAATCAATATGTCAAAGAGATGTTTGCATTCCCATGTTTATTGCAGCATTACTCATAATAGCAAAGATATGGAAACAAAGTGCCCAAAAAAGAATGAATAAATGTTTAAAATGTGGTGTATATACACAATAAAATATTATGCAGCCTTTAAAAAGCTGAAATTCAGCTTTCTCAGCTGAAAAAAAATAAATGCTGCCATTTGCAGCAACATGGATAAACCCCAAGGACATTATGCTATAAGGGAAATAAGCCAGGCACAGAGAGATAAATATCACATCTTACTTATATGTAGAATCTAAAAAAGTGGAACTCATAGGAGTAGAGAGTAGAATGGTAGGTAGTTACCAGAGGTTGTAGGTAGAGGGGGAAGGATGAGGAAAGCAGAGAAGTGGGTCAAAGAGTACAAGTTTCAGTAAGACAAAGAATAGGTTCTGGTGATCTATTACACATCATGGTACTTATAGTTAATAATAATGTTTGTATATTTCAAAATAGCTAGAGAATTCGTTTTAAATATTCTCACCACAAAGAAACAAATATTTGGGGTGATGGATATGTTAATTAGCCTGATTTGATCATTCTGCAATGCATATACATGCATTGAAACATCACAGGGCCAGGCACAGTGACGCACTGTCTGTAATCCTGGCACTTTGGGAGGCTGAGGTGAGAGGACTGCCTGAGTCCACGAGTTTGAGACAAGCCTAGTGAAACCCCATCGCTACCAAAAAAAAAAAAAAAAATTAAAATACTAGCCGGGTATGGTGGCATGGACCTATAGTCCTAGCTACTCAGGGGACTGAGGTGGAAGGAGTGCCTGAGCTCAGGAGATCGAGGCTGCAGTGAGCCGTGATCGTGCCACTGCACTCCAGCCTTGGTGACAAAGTGAGATTCTGACTCAGAAAAAAAAAAAAGAAAAAGAAAGATTACACTGCACCCCACAAATACAAACAATTATTATTTGTCAATTAAAAATAAAACAAACAGAAAAA